TTAGTGAAATAAACCTTCAACTTTAGTTTCATTAATGTTTGTCACCTTCCGTCATGAAATTTTAAATGGAGGGTTAGCCAAAAAAAAAAAAATTTTAAATGGAGGGTAACATACGTTAACATAATTAAAGTTGAAAGTTTAATTCACTAAATCTTTAGTTGAAGATTTTTGTTACGATCCATCTTTAGTTGAAGGTTTTTATTACTAAATACGATTAAATAATTTAAGTTTTTTACTATCATTTATTTATTATTTATCTTACAATTGATTTATAAACATTTAAAATAATTTATAATTTTTTATATATATTAATTTATCAATTTTTAACCTATTTATAATTGTTACTTAAAATATGACAATGGTTTTTTTCTCCTTTTTACATAATTTCAATTTGATTCGTACTTTTTCCTATTTCAGAAGAAATAATGTAGGATTATTTTTCTTCTTTTTGATTTCTGAACCATTATATTAAACTCCTACTATATTAATCAATAAACTTTTTTTGTTTTATTTATTTACTTCATGTTTTTGTAGTATGACGAATAATCACATCTTTAATCTTATAAAATCATCATTAAACCTTAATAATAATTTATAAAAGTATTAAATGAGAAAACTTTATAAATAGTTTATAAAATTGATAAAGTAATTTATAAAAAATATAAATTAATTTAAATGTTTATAAATCAATTTTAAGATTCTTAAATAATGAATAAATGATAATAAATATTTTAATATATTTAATCATATTTACTAATAAAATTCTTCAACTAAAGATGAATTGTAAAAAAAACTCTAAATTAAAGATTTAGTGAAATAGACCTTCAACTTTAGTTCTCTTAACATATGTCACTTTCCGTCTAAAATTTCGTAATGTAGGATAAAAGACATGAACGTAACTAAAGTTGAGGGTTTACTTCATTAAATCTTTAGGTGAGAGTTTTTTTTACAATTCTTCTTTAGTTCAGAAATTTTATTACTAAAGATCCATAAGAAAACAAAATTAGAAAAATAGTTGATTTGTTCCCGATTTACCCTTCATGTTAAGCCTATTTAATCAGCCGTTATGGTAGCCTTAACAGAAACTACTCACTAGCCAAATCTCGAAGTTACAAACTAAAAGTTGCCATATTCTTCACAAAACCAAACTACTATTTTACTTTACTTGTCAAACACTCAAGATAACATTTTCAATTATCTCCTAAAACCCACCCCAAAACTCTTTTGTCTCAAAATGGCCCCAGAGATTTCCGTAAACACGCTCAATATATCCGAGAAGGCACATCAAACACCTTCAAAGAGAGCTTATGTGACGTTCTTGGCGGGTAATGGGGATTACGTGAAGGGAGTGGTGGGGTTAGCAAAGGGTTTGCGCAAGGTTAAAAGTGCTTACCCTCTTGTTGTTGCCATGTTACCTGATGTCCCTGAGGAACATAGGGAGATCTTGAGGTCTCAAGGCTGTATCCTGCGTGAGATCGATCCTGTTTATCCTCCAGAGAACCAAGTTGAGTTTGCTATGGCGTATTACGTTCTCAACTACTCGAAGCTGCGTATCTGGAATGTAAGAGCAACCTTATTTAAGAAATTTTCGGTTAGGTTTCCCGTAAATCTAAGAACCCCACAATTATATACGCATATATAATATGTACATACACATATAGATGTTTTAAGAACTCAAGAGCAAGAATCCCCCAATAAGGTTGCTCTAAGTATTTCTCGATTCTTCACAAAAATCTAGCACAATATATTTTATAGTTGAAGCTCTATTTTTTTTTTTTAAGCTCTATGTGGTTTTACTTCTTGTAGTTTGAAGAGTACAACAAGATGATGTACCTGGATGCAGATATTCAAGTATTTGACAATATTGATAACCTCTTTGATTTGCCTGATGGGTATTTCCATGCCGTGATGGATTGTTTCTGTGAGAAAACATGGAGCCACTCACCTCAGTATTCCATTGGGTATTGTCAACAGTGCCCGGAGAAGGTCACGTGGCCTGAAGATATGGAATCTCCACCTCCTCCTCTGTATTTCAACGCCGGTATGTTTGTGTTTGAGCCTAGCCCTTTGACTTATGAGAGTCTCCTTCAAACCCTGGAGACAACACCACCTTCACCGTTTGCAGAACAAGTTTGTTAACATTAAATTCATTAATTGATTATATATCTGATTATTCTGAAGACTTGGTTTTGATAATTTTGGTATATTTTTGTAACTTTGTTTTGACAGGATTTTCTCAATATGTTTTTTGAGAAAATTTACAAACCGATCCCTCTGGTTTACAATCTTGTTCTTGCTATGCTTTGGCGTCACCCTGAGAACGTGGAGCTGGAGAAAGTCAAGGTTGTTCACTACTGTGCAGCTGTAAGTAGTGCTCGCTATGCTTACAAGTAACAAACCGGAGCCGGTTTTTAGCTTGTTTCTAATATTTGATTTCTTTTACTATTGATAGGGATCCAAGCCATGGAGGTACACAGGAGAAGAAGCTAACATGGACAGAGAAGACATCAAGATGTTAGTTGATAAATGGTGGGATGTATATAACGATGAATCACTCGATTTCAAATCGAAAATCCCTGTAGATGAGGAAGAAACCGTTACAAAATCGACCATCATAGCTTCGGTACTTGAGCCGGAAATGACCTATATACCTGCACCTTCCGCTGCTTGAGATGGTGTAGAAATGAAGTGCAAAATGACTTGGCGTGTTCTGCTGTCTATTTTCTTTTGATATTATTTATATATATACATAGTTTGAAATAGTATAAGCAACTAGAAACCTTGGCGCGTTGGAGTTGCAGTTATTAGCTTCCCTTTCTCGACCCGTGAGGTTATGAAATAGTTATGCTAAAGTGTGTAAGGTGTTAACCTACTAAGGAATTGGAGTATTGTATTGCTATATTAATGTGAAGCTTTGTTAAGCCTAGTAGTCTAACGCATCTCAAGCAGATTTACTATTAGTGTTCAGTATTGGTTAAGGCGTCTAGATTTACAAACTAAACAGATATCACTGTGATCGTTGTCTTGTGTTGTATTTACCAATTATGCATTGCTGTTTTTCACTTTAACAACTAATTATGTGGAATTTCACAGCAATGCAGCGCATCCACTCTTATCTTTCTCATGTGAGTTTTCGTTGACTCCTCTATGTAGGTTATTAATACGCTTGGCGTTATTTGAACCCAAAACCTCCATCTTTAATAACTTAATAGCAACTTATCTAATGGAAAGTTATTAAAGGGTGAAGTCTTGGATTCGAATAACGCCAAACACATCAATAACCTACAAGGGGGAGTCAATGAGAACTTGCATAAAAAGGGTTAGAATAGATGCACTGCAACGCTGTAAACTTTCACGGGATGGATTATCAAAAAGTAATTGTGACATTATTCTATGACATTATTCTAATTTTCATGCATTTTTTTTGTAGACAAAGTAACCTGAAACTAATGGTATTCTCAAGTAACATGTTGTATGCAGAGAAAAAAAATAAAATCTTACTTTATCTATTAGATCAATCTGTAAGTTTTTTTGATAATTTTTTTTTATTGTGAAAAACATATTGGATTTCTTATTTTGTTATAAATTTTTTTTGAAATTGTTTTTTTTGTTAGACGACATCAATTAATTGGTTGTGTGTGTGTTTTTGTTGTGTTCTTTTGTCGTGTTTGTATGTGTTTTTTTGTCGTCAATTTGTATATGTGTTTAATGTTTATCTGCTCGATATAAGAAACATATTTTGTGCTGTAAATGTATATAAGAACAAAAATTACGAAAGGACTTGAACAATAAGTTGATTTTGATCAAGGGGACACTTATACTAGTGAGTTGTCAACACACACACTCCAGCAAATGACACCTAATTTAGCATGTAAAGTTAGATTGCTCCTTGTGTTTCAAAAAAAAAAGGTTAGATTGCTACTAAAGTTACCGTTAAAGGCCATGCAACAAATCACCATCAAAATAACTTTGTACTCTTATCTACTAGGCATGATCAAATATGCAATTACACGACTACACGGAATTTTTTTTTTTAAGAAATTCAAACTGAACGTAATTGTAAAATTTTCACAAAATTATAAAATCTTAGTTTATTAGACCATCCCCATTAAGGGATTATAATGAGTTTAAGAGCATCCACACCAATGAACCCCCTTGGTGTTCATCTTTTTTTTTTTATTATTAAATTTTTTTATTTTTCTTTTTTGCTTTTAAAAAAAAAAAAAGATAGACTAATTGCGGGCCGCCACGTGTCGTGTGGCTCGCGCTACAATGATAAACTTCATGAGAGAGGGGATCACTAGAGAGAGTTTTAGGAGAGAGGGGATTATAGGGTTTTATTATTTTAATAGTTTTTTGTGTGGAAAAATGTGTGAACGGTGCTCTAAGGAGAAGGGGGATCACACGGTTTTTGAGGCAAAAAGTGGTGAATCACGTGAACTCGCAGTAGTGATATCGGATCGTCACGTGGCAGACCATAATTTGTTGAATTTTTTTTTTTTTAAAGTCAAAGGTAAAAAAAAATTAAAAAAATGACTTCGGGATCGTGCCAAAAGAATATCGTTTATCGAGATGCTCTTAGCTGAAATCTTATCTTATTATAAATCATGTTGGGAAAATGTACACTCTTCAAACGAAGTTAAATTATATGGTTTGGGTAAAGAAAGTTAAATTACACTGTTTAAATTTCGTCCTAAAAAATATCGGTCTACAAATTCAAAATCTCTTAGTCTTTCATTTCTTTCTTCAAAATCATAACAAATACACACGTCATGGAACACATGTAGCCTTTAGAATAATTGAGAAACCAATTGATGGAGATATAACAATGAACTTTGTTTAAATGTTTTGTGGTATTTACGACAGGAGCTTTGGCAAAACAAAAATAAGGTTCCCAGAAGCCAAACTAACCAATTTGTTACACCTAATCTTCATCAGAAACAACTTCGTATTTTAAAATCTCCTCTCAAACCTACCCCAAATTTTTTCCTTTGATCAGAATGGCCCCTGAAACTCCAATGGTCTCTAGATCTATCTATGCATACGAGAAGGCGCACAAGGCAAGAGCCTTTGTGACATTTCTGGCGGGTAATGGAGACTATGTAATGGGTGTAGTAGGTCTAGCAAAGGGTTTGCGTAAGGTTAAAAGTGCTTACCCTCTTGTTGTTGCTGTGCTGCCTGATGTGCCTGAGGAACATAGAGAGATCTTGAGGTCCCAAGGATGTGTCGTTCGTGAGATCGAGCCTGTCTATCCTCTGGATAGCAAAAATGCTTACGCAAGGGCTTATTACATTGTTAATTACTCAAAACTGCGAATTTGGAACGTAAGTTTATTTATAAACTTCAAAAACAGAAAAAAAGAGATCTCTATTATTTGCTTTACGTTTTAGCAAAAAAAAAGAAGATTATTTGGTTTAGGTGTTATATAGTACCTCCTCTCATATTAAGTGTTGTACAGAAAATTTATTGTTGCAAAATAAATGTTGTTTTAGTATTTTAATGTAAAATCTATATAAAATTTATAATATCAAAATACTTTCTTAATTTTTGTGCATAAATCTAAAATAACACTTAAAATGAAAGGGAGGGAATATATCTTTTCGTTCAAATGACATTCGGTCTTTTGTTTTTAAATCAAAACTTATCTGTAAATTGTAGATTAACCCAATATTAATGCTTCTTAAATTTACAAAATATGATTTGAAGGAAAAAACAGTGTTTAGACAATTTAAACTATTTAGACATTCTACAAACAAAAACTTTTTAGAGAAAAATAAAATAAGAAAACAAGTTTCAGACTAATCCACATGTACAGGGGGATGTGCCCGCCATGATAAAATTTAGCTGGTGTCTTCAAACCCCGATTAATTAACAACCTAAAACTCGCTTACCACATTTGGTTAATAAAAACAATTTATATGTACAATCCTTTTGTATATCATTATTTAATCGTATGTAGATGTTTTAAATTTATAATTCCATGTTTGTATTTTTGAAACATGCAGTTTAAAGAGTACAGCAAGATGGTTTTCTTGGACGCAGATATTCAAGTCTTTGAGAACATCGACGAGCTCTTCGATATGCAAGATGGTTATTTACACGGCGTGTTGAGCTGTTTTTGCGAGAAAATATGGAGCTACACGCCGCTTTACTCGGTTGGTTACTGTCAATATTTTCGAGAGAAGGTCATGTGGCCGGCCGAGATGGAATCTTCTCCCCCTCCTTTGTACTTCAACGCTGGAATGTTTGTGTTTGAGCCTAATCCTTTGACTTATGAGAGTCTCCTCCAAACCCTCAAGGTCACACCACCCACACCATTCGCGGAGCAAGTGAGTTACATTATGTACATTTATAGTTTGAAGATTTCAGCTAATATGATATTGCAAATTGTATTTGATTTATTATTTTGGTACTATGTACATTTCTAGTTTGAAGATTTCAGCTAATATAATGTTGCAAATTGTATTTGTTTTATTATTTTGGTACTATGTTGGACTTTGGCAGGATTTCCTCAATATGTTTTTTGAGAAAGTTGTAAACCCACTCCCTCCAGTTTATAACCTGATCCTGTCTGTGCTTTGGTGCCATCCGGGGTGCGTTGACCTTGATAGAGTCAAAGTTGTTCACTATTGTCCACCTGTAAGTGTATTTTTTATTATTTAAGTTAACTTAACGTAGGAGGTTTTCATAACATCATCAGTTTAGGGGCTTTACTTTTTTTTTATAAAAAAACCTCTAAAAATATTAGATAATATTTTGTTCCAACTAAACTTCTAGGATGCTCATTAGCAAACATGAATCTAAGTAATATCCCAAATGGGAGTGCATTTTCATATAGAATGCGGCATGGCGCTAATTATAACCATGCTTTTTTCTTGATTATTAACATCTCTTCAATCAGAGTAGCCTCGCCGGTTTAGCTTGATTTCCGAACTTTAGTCGTATTATCTTTATTATTCTCATTGACTGATGAAGATAAATACGATAGGGATCAAAGCCATGGAGGTACACAGGAGAAGAGCCTAACATGGACAGAGAAGACGTCAAAATGTTGATCAGGAAATGGTGGTATATTTATAATGACGAGTCCCTCGATTTCAAACCAAAAATCCATGAAAATTTGGAAGAATCCATTTGGAAGCAAACAATTATAGCTACCGGCTTACCGTAACGGAGCCCCCCTAGTTTCCTCCTCTATTTCAGCACCTTCCGCTGCTCGAGAAGCCTTAAGCCAAGTACACAAGACTTGGAGTGAAATAAAGGCATCCAGCTTCAGTGGAGATTGTTGATTGCATCAGGTTAGCAAATGTTACGTATGGTCGTGTGTATTTTTCTAGTAATTCGTATTTAAATGATTTATGGTTGCTTATTTGTAGGGACATGAATGATCAGTTCATAACTATAAATAAATATATGAATGTTTAATTTGTTCACTCAATGCCACGATGGTAATTAGTTTAGCTCATCGAGATAACGCAGAATCCAAAAATATTAGGCAAAGAAGAGAGTGATAATACGTGAAACACTGTTACTTTGTTAGGACTAGGAAACACACAAACTTTCAAATTAAGTGATCCAAAAATAATGTATACATGGTAACAACGTAAAGATCAAATCGGTCTTCAAACTATATATATTACTATCAATTGAAAACACGGTTAATTGAAAACATTATAACTTGATTGAACCTGAAATGTGACATGACAAATGGGGCATGTATGATTAGTCAAATTTGACTCAAATGTCACCTAGACATGTATGAGATATTAGTTTTAATAAACTACTTTTAGTTATCTTAGTTTTCATTCTTGCTTCGTGTTAAATCGTCTGATTATCATCATCATAACTCGCTATATTTTTGTGCTCTATTATTATCATAATATAAAGTTTGTTTTATCATCTAAAATCTAAACATATACGGCTCAGCGTTTATTATTTAGGATTTAGGGTTTATGTATTTGGATATGTAAAGTTGGTTCAATCAAATTAAGATCCTTCTTCATGCAGATGAATTGGTGACTTAGAGTAAGAAAGTGAGAAGACAATGGATAAATCATTGAGTAATCAAAATCAGATGCAATACTACATGAGAAATTTGACGGAAAAAAAATTCAGGAATTGGCAGTGAGAGATGAAATTGTATTTAACTCATTCCGAGTATCTAAGTGAGGAAAAAAACATTTCATCATGTTAGAAATTAACACTGATGTATTCATTTTAACAAGTGTTGAGTCTTAGATACATGGGTTATATGTGCAAAGAAGTGATATTAGGACTAATCGACCCTTTTATACATTATATTCACAGGAAAAATCTTCAAAATTCTTGTGGTTATCTTTGGAGAAAAATCACAAAACAAATGTTCTTAGATGTCAATATTTTGCAACAACTAAATTCTTACATTCTCTCAACTGATAGATTCTAAACATATTATTTAACAAATTGAGTTATTTCACTATGTTTTTTACGAGGGCATCAGAAAATATTACCCTTTGTAATATTTTATTGTAAACTGTTTAATCGAAAAACTTTCTGCGAATTGGATGAATTTCAAAATATATTTAAGGTAAATTTAAAATAGGCTAACATCTACCATGAAACATTCGTGTTCTCTTCTACATAGTAAATTTAACACACACAAAAACAATAATCAAGAAACCAGATGTTGCTGAGAAGAATTGCATGAGAATGTATCACAAATGTGGTAAGCATTACCATCTTTAGTAGGAGATTGTATTTTGATTTTTTTTTTGAATAATTGATACAAACTCTAAATTTATGGATTGCTGTTTTCCGTATTCCACTATACAAACAAGTTCTAACGATTGTGTATTTTTATGTTCGAAATAGTTGTCATATCAACGTCCTTTCGAATTATATCGCTATTGGATACAAATATTATGATTGTATCTTCATATATTGGTAACGTATCATTAACTTTAAAAAACAGATTTACCGACAATATTTTTTGTATTAAAAATTTCTTATAAACATTATATAAGAGGTGTACTATTAATATTATTTCTCGGTTTAAAAAATATCTAAATTTTTAGAAAATATATTTTAAAATATATTTTTTTTTTTTGCATTTTCAACGCTTTATTTATTTTTAAATCTAAACTTCAAAAAATAATTTTTTTTTTAAGTTTGTGACAAATATTTATTTACGAAAAGGTAATGCATTAATAATCAAAACTAATATGTTTTCTTAATATATGTTAAAATTTTAAAACTTACATCTATTTGGGGTAGAGAGAGTATCAATCACCATTTTTTATATTATATACAAATTTAAAAAATTAAGCCAAATGTCTTATAAATATTTTCAATTTGTTCATAGAAAAAATATATTTTAGTTCTACATTTATTATAAAACAATTTACGTACAGTGAACAGTTTATTATTATTTACATTGGATTAGAAAACAACTTTCAAATTATATGGTCATGCTTCCAATACGTAAATATGAACGGAAATAGCAAATTTATTATTTAATTTACTATTTTGTTATATATGGATTGAGAGTTTGATGAAAAAAGGTTGAGAGTAGTTATCGTAAATAGAAACACATTGGAAGGTTGCGCTTTTGTTGCAGAACCATGAATTCGATTCAAATCCGATGCCATAAATAAATAAAATATGTTGAGCCATCTTTTATATTTTATATTTTATATAAAATAGAAAGTCAATAGTATTACAATAGAAAAAAAATTAATATGAAACTATTAACTCTAATAGTATAAATTATTATTGTGCATAATTATTTTACCTTTTATTAAAATAAATTTTGCATATATAGCTTCAGACATACAATATTAATCATTTGTAAGTTATTAATAAGTATTAATTTGATTATTTTTTCCAGTCATTAGTTTGATTAATTTAATAATATTACTCTTGAAATCTAAAAGTGTTTAGTCTTATATAACATAATTTGAACTCGGTAAACTTGATATACATTATTATACATGAATATAGTAAATTTTTCTTTTTGATTTTGAATCATATAATATGTATTTATAAGTTCTAAAAATTAGGATATTATATGTTAATATAAATCATATTTATTTATTTGTATACACTTACTTCCTAATTATTTTAAAAACCTTTTTCTATATTCATAATATTTTTTACATTTTCCGATTCCATGTGATACAGATTAATAACCATTAGAGTGTCAAATTTTCACAATTTTTTGTATTATAAAAGAGGAGAAGAGCATGATTATCCACAGTTTCTTAGGGCGAGATTCTTAAAAGAATATAAGAAACTAAAAACTGTTATATGTTCTATGTTTTGGTTGATTATTTTGTTTCACAGAGATGATGATCGGAGGACAGGATGACTTTGGAAACATGGATGAGGTAAAAACTCAATCTCTTCCGAAGGGAAAAGGAAAACTCGATCAGGTTGTTCTTCTAATCTCTTATGAAATCATCAGTTTAAAGTTTGATATCTCTTGGATTGATTTCCGCTGTTGTGTTGTTGATTTTCTCTGTTTTTTTTATTGAACACGAGGTATTTATTTGTTTTTTTGTGTGATCGATTTGAATGTAACAAGATGAGCTGGTGGTTGTTGGTGATGTCTCATCCGGCATTGAGCCCAAGGAAAAGGGAAAAGTGGATCATGTAACTCTTATTCTAGTCTCATGAAATTAGTTAAGTCTTTACTGTGTTATTGATTTTCTCTGTTTTTTTTTTTATTGAACACGAAGTATTTATTTACTTTTTTGTGAGATCGATTTGAATGTAACATGATGAGTTGGTGGTTGTTGGTGATGTCTCATCCGACATTGAGCCCAAGGGAAAGGGAAAAGTGGATCAGGTTACCCTTCTTCTAGTCTCATGAAATTAGTTAAGTCTTTGTTGTGTTATTGATTTTCTCTGTTTTCTTTGTTTTGTTGTATTGTGGTTGATGATGATGATGTGAATGTGGAACGTGATGATGTGAATGTGGAAGGTGATGCCAAACCCAAGAAAAAAGGAATTGAAGGTTATTATAGGTTGTGTAATGTATTCTTATGGTATGGATTTTACTTTTGTTTGTAGCTTCTGTGGTGATGGTTTCGCAGACGGAAAACAAAGATGCATGTACAGGTGGTGGAGTATCTCCACAGAAAGGTAAAGTCCTATTATTATTACTAATCGATTCTTGTATAAGAATAGATTAATCCAGTATTGTTCCGAGATCAGTCTCCATGTGTCGATTAATAGCGTTCAAGTATCTTGTTGAATTGTATTCTTCGTTATCCAAAAGTTCTTCCGAATAAGTCCACTGCAGTTTGGAGTTTTGTCGTTATTTTAACTGGTCTAAGCTGCACTTGTCTCCCCTCAGAATCTCCACAATCTGCATATGGATATTTACACTTCATTATATTGCTAAAAGAAAAGTGGTAACTAATTAAATGATGAAATGCCTGATTCATGTGAGGCCGGTTCATGATACTCTATTATGCAGTGTTATTCATAAAATGTCTTTTATGAATAGAGTAAAGATATAGCAAAAATTGAAGTAAAATGTCTTTTTAATTGAACAATATGATATACCTGCGCTCTTTTTTAAGCATATGTTGGCAAATAGATGAATGAATGGTGCCTATGCATAAAATAACTTCGCGAAGTACATCGATTACGCTCCCTAATTCCTCTTCAAGAACATGTAGCCAGTGGAAAACTGAGGTGAAGAGATCATCATGAAACTTTCTGAGAATTGGGTGTATTTCAAGATATATTTAAGGTGAATTTGAAATAGGCTATCATGTACCATGAAACATTCGTGTTCTCTTCCACATAGTAAATTCAACACACACAAAAACAATAATCAAGAAACCAGATGTTGCTGAGAAGTATTGCAAGAGAATGTATCACAAATGTGGTAAGCATTACCATGTTTAGTAGGAGATTGTATTTTGATTTATTTTTTTTAATAATTGATACAAACTTTACATTTATGGATTGCCGTTTTGCCTTATGTTTTTTCTGAACCTTTTTATTCTTCAATAAATCATTTTTTATCTAAAATGTATTCCACTATACAAACAAGTTCTAATGATTGTGTATTTTAATGTTCAAAATATTTATCATATCAACGTCCTTTCGAGTTCTATCGCTATTGGATACAAATATTATGATTGTATCTTGATAAATTGGTAACATATCATTAACTTAAAAAAATATATTTACTGACAATATGTTTTGTATAAAAATTCTCATAAACATTATATAAGAGGTGTATTATTAATATTACTCCCTTGACTTAAAAAATATCTAAATTTTAGAAAAAAATATTTTTACATTTTCAATGCATTATTTATTTTTAATTCTAAACTTCAAAATAATATATTTTTTAGAAAAAAGTATTTTTTTTTTTAAGTTTGTGAAAATATTTATTTACGAAAAGTTAATGCATTGATAATAAAAAATAATATGTTTTCTTAATATATGTTAAAACTTTAAAACTTACATCTATTTGGGGGTAGAGGGAGTATTAATCACCATTTATATTATATACAAAATGTCTTATAATATTTTCTATTTGTTCATATAAAAAATCTATACTAATTCTATATTTATTATAAAACAATTTACGTAAAGTGAACAGTTTATTATTATTTACATTTGATTAGAAAACGACTTTCAAATTATATGGTTATGTTTCCAATACGTAAATATGAATGGAAACAAAAAAATATTATTTAATTTACTATTTTGTTATATATGGATTTAGAGTTTGATAAAAAAAGGTTGAGAGTAGTTATCCTAAATAGAAACACATTGTAAGGTTGTGCTTTTGTTGCAGAATCATGAATTTGATTCAAATCCAATGCCATAAATAAATAAAATATGTTGAGTTATTTTTATATTTTCTTATTTTATATAAAATAGAAAATCAATAGTATTACAATAGAAAAAAAGTAATATGAAACTATTAACTCTAATAGTATAAATTATTATTGTGCATAATAATTTTACCTTCTATTTAAAAGAAATTTTGCATAAATAGCTTCAGACATACAATATTCATCAATTTTTAAGTTATTAATAAGTATTAATTTGATTATTTTTTCCAGTCATTAGTTTGATTAATTTAATAATACTACTCTTGAAATCTAAAATTGTTTAGTCTTATATAACATAATTTGAACTCGGTAAATTTGATATACATTATTATACATGAATATAGTAAATTTTTCTTTTTGATTGTGAATCATATAATATGTATTTATAAGTTCTAAAAAATTAGGATATTATAAATCATATTTATTTATTTGTATATACTTACTTCCTAATTATTTTAAAAACCTTTTTCTATATTCATAATATTTTTTATATTTTCGGACTCTATGTCAAATTTTCACAATTTTTTGTATTATAAAAGAGGAAAAGTTTAATATTTCAAGTATTATTTTGAGAAAAATCAGTATACTTGAATTGTTTTTATTATTTAATTAATGTATATTTAAAAAAGTTCTCCCTAAGTTTTATAATTACATATTTTGGAACTTAATACTGTTTGAAGCTTTGATTTTTTGGGTCAAAGTCCTCCAAAGTGCATAAGTAAACAAATCTATATTTAAAGATATTTCCTATAAATGTTAATATGAAATTTAAAGTGAAAGAAATGCATTTAATAGATATGGTAATATATTGTCAATTGTAAAAATATGAAATATAAAGATTTTTTTTTGCTAATTTCTTACTTTTTATATATTTTTCTTCTTATGAATATGCAAACAAAAAAGGTATAATGTATAAATACATTTCAACATTTCTTACATTGTACACTTTTAGAATAAGTAAAAAAGGTATGTGAAATTACATTTCAGTATTCTTTAGGTGATATATGAATGACATATGGACCAGTAAGGTGTGGCCACAGTTTAACATTTCTTATGTGATTTAATTGGTGCTAGCTTTCATCAGTAACATAAGTGTATATAATTCAGAGGCCAACGTCACAAGTTGGCACAGACAAGTTTCATTAGAAAACAGCCTCCTGTTTCTAATACTTCCGAACCCAACTTAAGACTCCTTGGTTCCAATGGCCCCATCCACTCCCATGGATCCGGTCAATGCAAGGCAAAAGACGAATAAACAAAGAGCCTATATGACGTTCCTGGCAGGTAATGGAGACTATGTGAAGGGTGTAGTGGGTCTAGCAAAGGGTTTGCGTAAGGTTGAAAGTGCTTACCCTCTTGTTGTTGCTGTGCTGCCCGATGTGCCTGAGGAACATAGAGAGCTTGTGAGGTCTCAAGGCTGTATAGTGCGTGAGATCGAGCCTGTATCTCCTCCTGACGACCAGGTCTCTTATGCAAGGGATTATTACATTGTTAACTACTCGAAGCTTCGTATTTGGAACGTAAGAATGATCTCTTAATTAATCTTTAAAATTGAAAATCAAGCACTTTTCTATTATATGTTGAAATCTATGTTTCTGATATATGTTAAACTTGTAGTTTATAGAGTACGACAAGGCAGTGTTCCTTGACGCAGATATTCAAGTCTATGACAATATAGACGAGCTCTTTGATCTGCCTGATGGTTACATGCATGGCGTCATAGGCTGTTTTTGTGAGAAAACATGGAGCCACACGCCCCAATACAAAATTGGATACTGCCAGCAGTGCCCGGAAAAGGTGAAGTGGCCGGTCGAGATGGAAGCTTCTCGTCCTCCTCTGTACTACAACGCTGGAATGTTTGTCTTTGAACCTAACCAGTCTACATATGAGAGCCTCCTCCAGTCTCTTAAGGTCACACCACCTACAGAATTTGCAGAACAAGTGAGTTATATGATACATTTATTCAAGTTAAAATGATGCAAATGTTTTTTTTTTTCTTTTATAAAGGCTTAAAATATACTTGGTTATTGAATATTTAAAAGATCTAAATTATTATTTTCCTTGGTTAGAATGATGATTTTGGTATGTGGGACTTTGGCAGGATTTTCTTAATGTGTTCTTTGAGAAAGATTTTAAACAGATTCCATTGGTTTACAACCTGATTATGTCTGTACTTTGGCGTCACCCGGAGAATGTGGAGCTGGAGAAAGTCAAGGTTATTCACTACTGTGCACCTGTAAGTACTATGTATTGCTTACATACCTCTCTTGATTCTGAAACTTTCATCTTTTTATTAGTATTGCTGGTGAATGATGATAGGGATCCAAGCCATGGAAGTTCACTGGAGAAGAACCTTACATGGACAGGGACGATGTGAAAATGTTAGTCAAGAGATGGTGGGATATCTATAACGACGAATCCCTCGATTTCAAACCGTAAAGGCCTGGTGAAGATGCGAATATTTTGGCGTGGCTTTATTAATTTTGCAATTACCGATTTGGTGTGTTTTATTTTTATGCTTTAAGTTATTTTTGTGGCGAGAATAAATTTGTCAAACTATAATAATTCATGGATTTTTGCTAAAATAGAACAAAAAGTGAATCGATTGACTTTTTATCATAGTTTTTTGTTAGGTCGGTTCTGGACGTTTAATATTTTTACACTAGATGTTTTGCCCGCACATGTGGGCATAATTTTCGTATAATTTATTATTAATCTATATTTTATTAATTCAAACCAATATAATAAATTATGATTTATGTTTTAAAATTAATTATAAATGACAACACTCACATACCAAAATATTTTTTAAAATATATTTTTACAAATGTGTTGCTTTAATTTATTTTAATTAGATTTTTTCTATCTTAATTTTTATTTCTATAATAAAAATATATTTTAAAGGTAACAATATAATACATAAAAATATCTTATTTTCTCAAAATATGATTTTTAATAGCAATTCGTTTTTATTTTAATAAATTGATATGAAATTATTAAAAATATGGAAAATAATCAAAATTATCTAAATCATGGAGAAATTACAAATCAGATAATTCAATTAATTTTTTAATATAAAATATATGTTTAAGATAACAATCTAATACATAAGAATTATCTTATTTTTTTAAAAAATCTAGTATTATTAGTATACATTCGTTTTATTATCTAATAAATTATATATGAAATTATTAAAATATAATAAATAAGCAAAATATAAAACTATGGAGAAGTTGATAAATCAGCGTTGCTTTCTTTATATTTAACTATTAATATTTTAACTTAATTTTTAATTTCTATGATAAAAAACTATATTTTAAAGATAACAATATAATACATAAGAATTATCTTATTTTCTAAAAGTAGAATATTATTAATAGAAATTCGTTTTATTATATGATAAATTATTCATAAAATTATTAAAATATAACAAATAAGGAAAAATACAAAAATTATGGTGAAGTTACAAATCAATCAGTAAATTCACTTGAATTTTATAATAGAAAATATATTTTTAAGATAACAATTTAATACAAAATCATTAACATGTTTTCTAAAATATAATATTATTAATATAAATTTGTCTTATTAAATAAGAAATTGTATATGAAATTATTTAAATAAGGTAAATAAACAAATTTACCTAAAATCAATGAGAAGTTGACAACTAAGCAAATTTACTTCTTATATCATAGTATAGATTATTTATAAATTAATGAAAAATATTTAATGAACCAAAACAAAAGAAATTATAAATAATGAATATAACAAACAACACACACATATGAAAAAAATGTTTTGCTGTCTAATTCTTGGTGAAATAGAATTAGGGGTGGGACGGATCGGATATCCGGGGTATTTTGGGATATCCGGATCCGGATCCGGATTCGGCGGATCCGTAAAATTGATATCCGGATCCGGATTCGGGCCTTCCGGATATCCGGGATTCGGATATCCGGACTAAAACTCGAATACCCGCGGATATCCGGATCCGTTTTAAAAAAAAAAAATTAAAAAAATCAAAATTAAATTTAAAATTTTAAAATTAAACATATATTTATTCAATTAAAATTTTTTTTTTTTTGCAAAAAAGTTTAAAAAGCTAATAAAAAATTAATAAAACTAAGTTTTAGTTATTTTAATAAAAATTATATATAATATATCTATATAAATTTAATTATAT